CCGTGTCACGGTAGGCTTTGGCACGATAAAGAACCCTCAATACTCAATGGCCCCGAGTGCCGAGTAAAGGTCTAAATTTGAAGCCCTTCACTGGTAAATGGTGACGTATCTATTTGAGTGAAAAATTCCCGAATGGGACGTAAAACAACATACAATCAATCAAAGCTTTGTTGTTAGATTACGTTTTTTTCTAGTGAAATATCCAAATACCACAGTGTGGTTATTCAGAAAGTCATTTCACACCATCAAATGATTGTATAAAAACAACAACAGTATTAAAATTGAGTGATACACAGTTCGGTATATAATAAAAACATATCTACTCTCATACTGTATTGATGCATCATCTGTTCAATATCACACCTTTATTTCTTTTAAACAACCTATATTACACAGAAAGCATGCGCCTGATTAAACAGATTCCTTTGATAATGTCAAGATATTATTAATATCTTGCTATTTTCTACCTGCAACTAAAACTGTCTAGTACTGATACCATGTTTTCTGTAAAACTTTTTTTTTTTTAAAAAAATGAAATAATGGAAATTCTACAAATAATAATATAAAGATAATTTTATAGCTTTCTTACATAAATAGATCTATAATAGGACTGATACTGGGCACAACTGTCATTTTTTCTAGGGGTAAAGAGGTCAGAACGGATTACTCTAGATTAGCAGAACTGAGAAGTTTGCTTCCTTATGCTAATATGTTAGCCTTAACTGCTACTGCCATACAGTCTGATAGAAAAAAAAATCAGAAATGTTATGCATATAGAATTTTCTTGAATTGTGACAGGCCAGATGTAGAGCATGTGTGCATTAAAGTTCCAGCAAGCATAAATGAATGTTTCTCGTGGTTGTGTTATGACACTCATGTAATAAAAGAGAATACCCCGAAATGTATTTATTAACGCAGAAACATGAAAATGTTCTGGACTCATTTATCAATATCTAATGAACCAGCTTGATTCCGAAAACTACATTGGGACATGTTCAGCAAAAAAACGTCTTTTTGCAATGTCTCATCATTCTACTGCTTAAAAAACAAAACGATCATAATGGACACATTTTGTAACACTGATAGCAAGATGCTTTAGATTGCAAGCTGTTATAGCAACAACTGCATTTGGTATGGGGGTGAATGTATCCGACGTACGTGTTATTGTCCAAAGGGCGGGGGCTCCTCACAGTATTCAAGGATACATGCAACAGAGTGGACGTGTTCGAAGGGATGGAAATTCATCCGTGTCTATTATTTACTTTTACCAGCTGATATAAGTACTGTTGCAACTGATAATCACACAAGAGAATTCTGTTTAAATCGTGTAGACGTCAATTTTTACTGGAACATTTCACACCAGAAGATACCACAATTACAAATGCACTAGCTTGTGTTTGTGCTGTGATAACTGCAAGCACAACAGTGAATGTGGTAAGTGTCCCTCTGACACTGTTGCAGTTCTGGACTTAGAAGAGGAATCCCTTAGTGATGGCTGTGGATATCTTTGAGGAGCCTCCAGTACATACTGCAGGACATGACCTGTAAAGAATGAAAATTAAAAGAAAAACTATATGACTTACGTACAAAATTGTTAGATGATACATGTACTTCTTTCTTAAAATTGGATCCTTAAAGGTCGCAGCAACAAAGTGATCAGTGATATTGTTGCCAATGTACATTACATTTTTTTTCTGTTGAGGAAATTCATTTTCAATATGTTTTTCAAAGAGCCAGTGCTGAGGAAGTTTTTGAAATTATTGAGAATGTTGTGTCTGATTAGAGTTAAAGAATTCAAATTAAAGACAGATTATACAAACAAAACAAACGGATGCCTGGATTGGTATATATTTTTTGACCTATTTTGGTTGTAAATGATACAAATAATATATTTCTAAAATATTCAGAAGTTGCAATTTTCTATGATCATGATGGTGGTCAAAATTCTACATTTCTGCAACCATCTTTATTAATGTATAAAGCATTTTGTCACTTTAAATCCCATCCTTTGACATTTTGAATGAAAAGTTAAAATCTATTCAATTACTCATTTTACTTATATAAGCACGACTTAAGTTATTTTCAAGATTTTTGATAAATGTTTGTATCATCTGTCCTTAAAATGAGAAAAAAAATATTTTCCAAAATAGTCTGGACAAGCAATTACACAATAATATATATATCTTGTTTGATGTGCTTTTATTTCAGTGCATGTATGGGTTATTTCCTAGTTTGATTGTTGAATGCCAGTAGAAATGAAAACATAAAAAAATAAGTTTAGGCCATCTTTAAACAATTTCTTGGTTGCCGTTTTCCTCCAGGAAATAATTATTTTTTATGCATTCCGGATAATAGATTTTGATAATTCAGCATTGATGTTGAAATTTTCTTAGAAAAAAATCCAAACTACTTACCGACCCAAAATTTTCATCCTGAGTCGGAAGAGGACAAACAAACATTATTTAAGGTCGGCCCTAAGGAGGGGGGGGGGGGTTAAAGGAATAACCTTGTCCGTCTGTGTCATTGCAATCTTGTCCAGGCCAGGGATGGGGTAATTGAAAAAAGTAATTGTAATTGACTGTAATTAATTACACGGAAAAAACGCCATGTAATTTCAATTACTTTTTCAGTTACATTCAATTACTTATATAATACACATTCATGATATATTGTTCACCACTACCTCCCCATTTTACTGTTTTTTTATTTTTATTGCAAAACATATCCTCAATCCTTCAATTATGCAAAATCTTAAGTTAATGTTTACAAGCAAATAAATGATTGGCTTGATAATAATAATAATTTAGTTTCTTTCTAGTCATCATGTAAAATTTGAATTTTTTGTTTTGTGTTTCTCTAAATTTTGTCCCAACCCTCTAAGGTCTATTGAGTTATGAAACACACATTTATTATATTTCAATCTTTGTTGTTTGATCAATAATGAAGAAAAAGAATGTGTGTGTCATTAAGTAAGTTCTCTTTTGTAGGGAAGAGATAATTGCCACCAAATCACAGCTGTAAATTGCAATCAAAACAAAACTCCTCTAAGGAGGTATTCATTCCATGATTTAGAAGACAAAGCCAATGGAGATAATTACTTCAATTAAAAATTCTCCGCTAGCTTTAGAAAAGAAAAACTTTCGATTTGATAATTATTTTAACATCTGAACAGATTTCTATGAATGAATTTTACATCTGAAAAACTCAAAAAGTTATGTTCTGTACAAGTATTATTTATGAAGTAAAAATGTTCAACATAAATAGCAATTCAGGATGTTAAGGTTACCTTCAAAGGAAATATTTAATTTGAGGGATTACAGTTGCGACTCATTTTACTTTATTAAAATACTCACTTTTAATCAAATATCATAAGCCATGGAATAGGGTCTGTAAGTCTCGTCAGCTGACCGACGAGATTTGACGAGATTAATAACTTCCGGGTACCTCAAGCGAAGTGGCCTTGTCCATATTGTATTGGGCAAACTATGTTGAAGGTTTAACAAAGATTAAAAGGAAAAGTGAAGCTGCAGTGGAGTCTCAGAGGGTTCTCCGATTCACGTTTGACGAGTTGCGTGTGATAACTGCGAATGTTCAGGCATCAATGAGGGACACATTACAAAGTGCAGGTTGGTTGTAGATTTATAAACTCGCATACATAATACTGATAACTCTTTCGATAAAACAATTTTTCATTTAATTTATGAATGATTGCTCTTTGAATGAATATAAACATACTTGAAAACGAAGCAAAACATTTGCCTAACGTTATTTATCGATGATCGTACAATCATACGTAACCTATGCTATGTAATTGTAAACAAGTTTGTAAGCCTATGTATTATAGCATATGATTAGATTGTGTGTGTGAAGTTGTATAAATTTTATATATGTTAAGAATGACAAGTGTATAGATACATATAAGTTATCCTTTTTAATTTAATGTTATAATGTGCAATAGATATTCCTTGAATCTGAAGATAATGGTGTTGTGGAGTCATCCTCATGTGAGTGTCCTATGGGACGTTATAAGTGTCATCACGTGGCAGCAGCTCTCCTTTATGGGCAAGTGTATAGTATATAATTGTAAAACATTGTTTATGTTTTTAAATCAATATGGACAATCTATTCAATTTTGATGTGTAAGAGAACTTAAGTAAATAATGAGTGAAACTCTTCAGATATAATTATAAAATGCTACATTCATTCCTCATTATTGCTGTATATTCAGTTGCTTTTCCATCATTTTTTTTTTAATTCTTTATAAATATTGCAGGTATAAGAAGGCAAGTAAAACTGATGTAAAATGCAGTTGGATAAAACATCCAAAGTCAGCGCAGCCGAAGGTGACAACAACCATGGAGGAATTATTTCCACCAAAACAGCCAGGATACAGGTACATGTAGTTCATTTATTTTCAAAGGAAAGTTTCAACAAAGATTGCATGATTTGAGTAAAAATTATTTATATCTAAAATACAAATATAAAATATCACACACACATATAGAGCATTGAAACGTGAGGTGACGGATGAAGACAGATCATATTTTATAATCAACTTGGCCAGTTAGGCAGATTTACAGGTTCACCAGTTCACGTTCAATTTGTTCCCTTTGAATATTTTCTTATATTGGATGTATTCATTGCCAGTTTTTTAAATTGGTTAATACAGTGGGTTTTTTTTAACTTTTCTTTCAGATTTATTATTTATGAGATACTTTTTGTGTATTTGGAACTTCTATATTTGAACTTGATATTAATGTTATTCATTTTTTTTAAGCCATGGTCATAAAGTTTTAATGAAAATAAATCAAGCATATTTGTATTTATACAAATTCATGTCGTATATTCAATTTCAATGTATGTACTTTCAATCACCAAAGAGCAAAAACTGAACCTTCTCATTTAACAACATTCTGATTAGTTAATTGCTAACAGAAACATGCACTTTGTGAATTTTATTTCATACTGAAATATTTCTGATTTAATTTATTTGTGCAGCAATGCACTGGATATTATCAAAAGAGGCTGTGACAGAGGATATTCCTGTTGTCCTGATACAAGATATATTCCAAAGCAAAGAATTTTTGAATGCTGAATGCAAAGAATCCTTTTTAAGGTATGTTTAAACCTAATAATCTGATATCGCTCTTAGATTAAACTGTTTCAATAATATTATAATATCAAATTAACTTACACAATCCCATTGTACATATCTCAGGGTTTTTTTTCATGAAATGTTATGTATAGCTTCTAACAGAATCATTTTACACTATCTAAAAACCATGATTTTAGGGGGAAGCTTACAATGTCGCCAGAGAAAGTTATTCAAACTGCATGGATTACTATAGGACAGCGAGAAAATATTATGTGGGCTAAAGTTCGCAAGCTTCGTTTCACAGCTTCAAATTTTGGACAAATTGTTACAGCAATTCGAAAAAACAGGTATAATTTTTAATGAACACTCCGTGCATGTCTCCTCAACCACATAAGTAAAGATGCATAATTAAATGTTTAAAGATACATAGTGTATACATGATTATCAGTTTTCATGAATTTTGTAAATCACACACTTTTGAGGATATGTAAATTCTTCAACAGTAGCCCTGACCATGTTTGAAAAAGCCATGTTTCTTACTTATTGATCTTCTGATTTTGTGGATCTGGTAAATAACAAAATTGACAAAAAATGGTGTTATTCAAATAATGATTAAACTACAGTAGTTTAATTTAGGGATCTGTTTTTCTATCTTTTTTTTTTAAATAACAAGATTTAGAGCATTCAAAAATACATTTGAAATATTTTTAGGTTAAATGTGTCCTTGAAAAAGAGACTACTGAGTGCATACAACTTGGAAAAAAGAGCACCAATCCAGTGGGGGCTTGCCCATGAAAAGACTGCAATACAAGAATACTGCAAGCTCTTTGAAGTAAATGTTTTAGAGACAGGTAAGTTTTATAAGGATAGTAATAGTTTATCAAGTTTGAAATTTCTATCATTCTTGTGCAATTTTCATTTGTTAAAAATTATGTCAGTCTTGATAGATTATTTACCAATAAATAAATTATATTGATATCCTGCCTTTAAATGTTTAAGTCACATTATTATCATGAAAGTTGAGAAAAAAAAAATACAGCACTTATTGTTGCCAAACAGATACAACTTCTTTAAATGATTGAAATTTAAATATTTTCACAGGAATATGGCTTCATGAGTCTGAGGTACTTGGAGCCTCTCCAGATGGTTTTGTCCAAGGAAGTCCAAAGGATATTACTGAAAGAGTGCATCAACAAGAAAACAAGTCAACATTAGTGTCACCTGACATTGTTGAGGTGAAATGCCCATTTTCTGCCAGATCAATGACAATCAAAGAAGCTTGTTCAAATGTTAAGGATTTCTTTCTTGGTAAGCTAGCTAGTTTTACAGAATTAAAAAAAACTCTGAATTTATATTGTAAGGGATTTAATCTTGAATTGCTCACATGATTTAAGTATATTGTAATACATGTATGAATATATACATGTATGCATACTTCTTAGGCATTATTAAAAGGTTTGATAGATGAATTATTAATGTTTATTGTAAGATTTAAGTAACTTGCACTACATTCTGAATATTATTGGAGTGCAATTATGTCAAAACATATTGTTTACATGCTGTCTCCACCATTCCATGTCAATAAATGAAATTTTATTTACGTTTTTAGATTGTAATCCAAGTGAAAGTTCACTCCACCTCAGGACAAAACATGATTATTGGCACCAGATCCAAGGACAGTTGTACCTGACAGGAACACAGTGCTGTGATTTAGTAGTGTGGACTCAGACATTCAAGTTGTTCGCATTGAGAAAGATGTGTCATGGTCACCAAACATCTCGAGCATGATCGAGTTCTATTATAAAGTGTTTCTGCCAAGTTTGTAATATTAAGGACTCATAGTGGTTAACAAATGACCCGTCGGATTTTGAAGTTTTAAACTATTATTTTGTATAGAAAAGATCCATATATTTTAGCTTTAAAATATTTAGATATTTTCTGATATCTTTATACAGAACTTTTCTTCTTAAAAAAGATCAATACATCCTTTAAATGGCCACAACCATCCAGTCCTTTTAAATGATTCCAAAATTTTTATTTTCATTATTTCAACATTCTTTTTACAAGACCATTAGTATACATGTACAATTATTGTTTGCTGAATCATTATATAATTACAATAACTGGCAAAGGCCCAACATATGCAGAACAGATTATTTTTATAACATATCAGAATATTAAAATTCATATCAACATAAAAGGAAAAATTCTGAGACCCAAGATAGTGCATTTTTTCTGTAGGATGTACATTTGTTAATGAATGAGTGAGTTACACTCAGCACTATCATAAATATACTATTTATTAAACAAAAGTTAGCCGTCAGAGTATTTGAAATTTTTGAAAAATTCATTCTATGAAAACATATATACAAAATTCTTTCAAAAATTGATCTCAAATGATTACATGTATATTTTTAGTAAGCTGGGGAAAAAAACTTTGTATTTATGCTGCAGTGGTACAATATAACAAAGTCTTTCATGTACATGATGTATTGGAATAGATAAGTGTTGACCTTTTTCTATGGCAAGATTGTGTGAACTAATCTTAAACTACTAAAAACTGATCTTTTTACTTTTCTCATAAATATATCAACATATGAAGATCATTTAAAATTATCAAAAAGAACGTGATAAAATTTTAGCTTTGATGGAATTCAATAGATTTGTATTACCTTTTTTAAGCACTGGTCTGTAAATCTTTGTTTATATGTCCATTGTATAATGAATAAACATTATAAATGATATGATGGCTCAAAAGCTTTTTTTAGCCATACCACATAATTAAAGTACCCAACTTTACATGTATATTATCAAACGTGCATGGTTATGTGCATAGAAAATCAAGTACATTGTACTACCTAGACATTTGCAGATTCTAGATATACATGTATAGTTAGTTATATATAAATAACATTGACCTACTGAGTAGGTTCTTCAATGTCATACTTTTCTGCAATCTCTTTCAAAAGGGGGGCTTGCAAATTCACAAGGGCCACACAAAGTTGAAATATTTTGGTGGATAGGTGTCTATACTGTGATGGTATATGACTCAGAATTTCAAAGTTCTTTATTCTCTCGTTTGCCCGCTCTACGTGGATTCTGCTTCTTCCTATTTTATAACATAACTGAGCTTCCTCCTTTGTGAAATGAGACTTGTTGGTAAGAAAAGGTGGGATATTAAGGGTTACGCCATTTGGAAGTTTATCAAATATATTGAATCCTTTGTCGGCCAGTATCATATCACCAGCTTGCAACTTCTCTAAGATGCCACAATGGTCCACAATTGCAGCATCGGAGGTTGATCCAGGATACAGATCTGAACAGAAGACAAGATGTATTTGAAGTTGCAGCAAGAAATCAATACGCTCAAGCTAAGAAAACCATCCATGGTATCCATTGTCGGTCAGTTAGGTCAGTTATGGTCAACGGGATAATTGATTAGTAATAATTCAGTACAATGAGAAGCAATCATACTTATCCACACCTCAACACACACAAGGTAGTGAACAGTTACTCAAACAATGGAAATTCATCTTTTGTTGTCTTGTTCAAAAGCTGCAGTGTTAGAAGTATCTTTGATTTGGATTGTTTTTTGTTTTTTTTTTGGATAGCCCACATTACATATATGAAATTGAATGGTCAAATACTTGCAACTTTTTTGTTTATTTCTTACAAAAATACATTTCTATGAAAAACTGCATATAAATAGCTTTATCAAGCTATTTTGAATAGCTTAATAAAGCTACATGTATACAGCTATTTCAAGCTATATAGCTAAATCAAGAGATTGTGCTGGACCTGTGTACATTATTGTAATTGTGCTTGAGCCAGTAAATTCATAATATTTGTATTTGTATAACTACGATTTAATGATACCTTTTTGGTGTGGCAACATCAGGAAAACATCCAACGTTTTTACTATAACTAAATATAGTTGGGCCGTTCTCCTTTTTGCCGTCCACAAAATGGCAGCTACAAATCCTGTCATTAGGATTATAATCCCTATCCGCTCTCCTGAAATGATGTGTTTTAACGATAAGTAACTATGTTTCGGCCTATAGTGTACTTAATTTTGCATTAAACTCATATACAGTCTTTATTCAATCATTTATTTATACTCTTTACGGATTTTTTTTCCGGTAGCATTTGACATCAGTCTGTTCGACTTTTTATGTATGATTACTTACCTACATCTTTCAACCCATCGTTTCCTTTCTTTGAGGTCGGTTGGAAACCTGTATAGACTGCACTGCAGATTTTTACCGGTCTTGTGCGTACAACCGATGGCAAAACAAAACACCATAGTAGTTCACTCTATTTGTTTACACTGTTGAGGTACCCGGAAGTGGTAAAGCGAAAGTGAAACCAAACGAGACTTACGGACCCTATTTGTGTAAAGGAGGAAACTGCATCAAACTGATCTCGGATAGCTCTTCAATGTTTTGTATATAAAAGTTATAAATTAAGGACATACGCAACGTAGTTTGAACTTTATTGTCTTTTTCCCTGGAGTTGAAGAGTTCCAATACTTAAAGGAATTGTGTGCTACATTTGTATGTGTATATATACTGTTGTACACTTCTTCTAAAACAAGTTTGGATAAACAAAACATCTAGAATATGTGTTTTGTAATTTTTGTGTATTTTTCTTTGAATTATACAAGAATTTTCATCAATTGATATCTTTTCAAAACCCCTGGTAATGCATGCTGATTTTTTGTCGACGAACATCCGATGGCACTATAATCTTAAATTAAGAATATCTTGAAAAATTATCAGTAGGTAAGATACGTTGCGTATGTCCTTAAACCACAAAGATACACAATGCCTATTATATATTATTTCTTGTATTGTTTGTGCAGAGGCTGAGCTTATATACATATGAATGATGTTCTGTATATTTATTGACAAGGATGATAAAAATTTTCATAAAAATTAAAAATGTAATTTGTAATTTAATTACTTACTTTTGCAAAGTTATTGTAATTTAATTAATTACACATCTTAGAAAGCCTAATTTAATTGTAATTTAATTGAAGAACAAGATGTGTTTGTGAAACACTGTGCCCCCGTATGGCAGCTTATGTCGAAGGTTAAAGTTTCTCAAATGCAAGTCAAAATCCAGGTCAAAAGTTAAAAAGTGTTGATACCCAAAGAAAGATCTTGTCTCGAGGAAAACACCTGTGAAATTTGAAAGACCTAGATACAACTGTTCAAAAGTTATGGTGAAGGTTAATTTTTTTTTAAATAAAAGTCAAACGTCAAGGTCAAGGTCAAAGTGGCTGGTATCCAAAGGAAGATCTCGTCACAAGGATTACATATGTGAAGTATGAAAGCCCTAGCACCAACCATTCAAAAGTTATGGCCAAGGTTAAAGTTTTTCAAAAGTAGGTCAAACTCCTAGGTCAAGGTCAAAAGGTCAAAGTCGTTGGCATTCGAAGGAAGGTCTTGTCACAAGGATTACATGTGTGAAGTATGAAAGCCCTAGCTCCAACCATTCAAAAGTTATGGCCAACGTTAAAGTTTTTCAAAAGTAGGTCAAACTCCTAGGTCAAGGTCAAAAGGGTCAAAGTGGTTGATATCGAGAGGAAGGTCTTGTCACAAGAAATACACAGGTGAAGTTTGAAACCCTAAGCACCAACTGTTCAAAAGTTATGGCCAAGGTTAAAGTTTTTCAAAAGTAGGTCAAAGTCCAAGGTCAAGGTCAAAAGGTCAAAGTGGTTGATATCCAAAAGAAGGCCTTGTCACAAAGAATACACATGTGAAGTTTGAAACCCCAAGCTCCAATTGTTCAGAAGTTATGGCCAAGGTTAAAGTCTCATAAAATTTTGCAAAAGTGGGTCAAATTCCAAGGTCAAGGTCAAATATGATGGTACCCAAAGTAAGGTCTTGTCACAAGGAATACACATGTGAAATATGAAAGTCATAGCTCCAACCAATCAAAAGTTATGGGCAAGGTTAAAGTTGACAACAGACAGACAGACAAACAGACAAACGGACAAACAGACTAACAAACAGACAAACAGGACAAAAACAATATACCCCCGGGATCTTTCGATCCGGGGGCATAAAAAGTCAAATTAATTGTTATTTAATTACTTTTCAAAAGATTAAAGATCAAGATTACTTGACCCCATCCCTGGCCCAGGCTATACCTTTGTAATGAAAATTATTGACAGCTTAACTTCGTAGTACAAAGATTGCTCATAAACTGAGGGTGTGTCATGACATTGATAAAAGTCAGTCATTTAGTTAAGTTCAAGGTCACTGGTAGAAAAGTAAAATTTTTGTCGTCCGATCTACAATTTTTTTTTATGAGGAAACCTTGGAAGTTCATACTTAATACAAAAATTGCTTATGGCCTATTTAAGTATACAAAATGAAAAAATAAATAAATTAAGTTTATTAAAAGATTCGAAAAAATAGGTATATGTTTTAAATTAATTTGTCTATTTGTTGTAATGGTATTTTTCGAAAGACCTTAATGTCAACACTCGCCACCTTCTGATCACGAAGATGCTAAGTTAGACTTTGGCTTCCCTTAGAATTAGAATATTATATTATGTCTCCATACTCAGTTATGAAGGGGATCTCAATTTTTCTGAATAAAGTAACGCCAAAATTTTCCTACTTGAATTTAATAGACTTAGCAAAGTGAAAGTGGTATGTTGTAAAGGGATTCAAATCACGAAATGGAACACTCGAAGTATTTCCGAAGGAAATTATTTTTATCCTCCGAGATTTTCTCCCTTTCAGGCTGTTTTATGGAGAAAATTTATCGCCTCTTTTTAACCCATACATATTTTTTTCGATCACTAATAGTCTATGATAGCACACACGTTTTGTACTTCGATCCCGAATAACAAATATATACGTTGCATATCATGGAGAGTGATATCTACAAAAGAGGTATTATTATTCCATCCAAATAAAAACAAATGTTGCAGGTGAGATTTAATACTTTTAACAGTATGCTTATGTGTATCCTATTTTAATAATGTAATAATTTTACAATTATAAATGCTTTTAATTACTGCTTTAAAAATATTTCCTTTTTAAATGGCTTTAATGTATATTGCTGCAATTTCTAAAACATTTCATAAAATAAATATCATTTTCATCAGTAAGTAACATTTTTAATGGAAGCCTCCATCCATAACTGGTGAATAATTCCATCTGACAAAAAGAAATATACCTCCAACGATCATAATTACATTACTGGGGTAATCTTGATTCTAAAATAAAAAATGAAATGTCAACATAAACATGATAAACTGATAAATCGCCCCCGTATCAGTGGTTGCGCGTTGAAAGCATCAAATTTACGACGGGAATGTAATATAAACATACCTAAACTAAGAATATCACATCTTCACAGTTCAGATAAATAAAATAAATTTGTGTTCATTTTTTTATCTGCTTTTAATTTTGATTTTTTTCTTTTGTATGGTTTACTTTCCTCAATTTTTTCTAACAAGGGTGTTTTTAAGTGTCGGTATTTTCACTGCATTTGAAGGCTTATGGCAATATTTGTTGCTCACAATTATAGAATATGTCTTGTGATTACCTTCTTCATAGAATCCATTTTAATCTTAAAATGGTTATTTTATCATGTTATATTTTAAATTCTTTATATATACATGGCAATTAATGATGCACATTAAAAAAGAAGAGGCCAAAGGGCTTTAACGGTCACCTGAGTATAACACAACAAGTAAAGGATCCAATGTTGTTTAACGTCCCTCTCGAGAATTTTTCACTTATATTGATATAAAGTATCCAAAAAATATCCAGACAGTATAAAACAGACTGCTAGATGAAGCTATGTTGCCAAAAGACAAAAGAAATATATTGATCAGGGATCAGAGGAATAATAAGTCTAGTATTTAGTGTCAACTCATACAGTAGAGCTACTTGCCCACAACGGTCATTCTCACTATGCAGACTGGACTGAAAATAGACCAATCACGTTGGCCTCTCTTTGTCTTTGCTGTTCATTTAATATGATGTTATTTTTGTCTCGATATTATTTATTTATTACTTACAAGTACTTTTTGTATTATTCAATTAAAATTCTTGCCTAATTCTTGAATTCTTTTAACTTTTCAATTACATTATCTACAGTGATAAATTATCATAGGAGCCTTGGTCAGCACCAGAACACTTGAAAAAGTGGACTAGAATTTAAAACATCTGGTAAATATATACTCTTGCTTATAACAATATTACAACTTATTTAGAGCATCGGTTTTTGATGAACGGCGTTGTCATAGTTACAAAAAATAGAAATTTCTGTGATAATCCATTGAAACGTTACTCCTCTTGCAGTTTTGGTCCGATTTCAATATAACCTGGCACACAAGTAGACTACACAAAAATACATAAATCAGTGGTGGTGTTCCAATCATCATTTATTTTACAAACGTAATAGTTTTTAATCCGAATATTCCATTATATTATCTTTTAAGAACTGCGAACGATAGTATTGTTCTTCTGCCTACCTCTAAGTCAATTTTCAAAAGTTAACATATTTGAATGGTTTTTCATATTTATATAAATATCATAAAAATTACTTATTTTGGGAAACAAAGAGAGATAACTCTATAATTTTGGTAAAACTTGTGTTTTTCACTAGAGAAATCAACGGAAAATATTTTTACCCCCCCCCCCCCCAAGAAACAAAAATTCCTGTTTACAGGTAATATGAATTGTTATTTCACAAATTCATACCAAAGCTTTTTGCGTTTCACGGGGGGGGGGGGGGGGCATATTTTTAAAGACGAAATGCCCATTTTTTTCACCAATTTCGAAGGGGTTTACAACTTAAACGTAGTATTTTATGAATTACATGTTTAATTTTATATGCGTAAAACATAAGGAAAGATTTAAAGATTATTTATCCATATCCAAGAATATTTTAAAATATGCTGATGCTTCCAAGCCTGATTTCAATGGAAAACATCGTCTACCCCCTTATAAAAAGAGCTGGAATTAAGAGAAATTAACTATTTAACACTGGTATTAAAATTATCAATCAATTACCATTGAACTCTTCTTTGCAATCAACAACGATTTTATGGCCAAAATGTCATTAGTATTGAATTAAATGGGTGTAAAATGTAGGCGGAAGTCGAGAGTTAGCGTGCGTAGTTCTATATTTGTGTGTATCGTAACAGTAATGGCGCAGACGAGAAGACACCTACTTCCATACCCGGGTAACGAAGCACCGGGTATGGACGTACTTTGCATTCAATAAATTAAAAGATGGACCAGCTACCAAAGCAAATTTGGACATGACAAAAGCTGTATGCAGGCTATGTATAAAGGAATATTCCTTCAAAGGTTAGCGTTACTTTACCTGTTTACTGTCAATAATTGTATCACTGTGCATTACGATATATATGACTCTAGTTTAGTTTCAGAAATAAATAAAAACGTTTTTTTACAATAAAAAACTAAATTTCTTTTGTAATCTGCCTTTGTTGAATATTGATTATGCTTAATTATCACAAGTAAATGAAGCATTCGTTTAGATGTTATTTACTCGGCCCACATTTTATTTTGAAATGAATCAAAATGACTTTCCCTTTTTTGTGGGTTGCACCGATGGCCCATCAAAAGAGGATAATAAATCATGGCTGCATTTTCAAGCAAAAATTTAAGATTGCCGATTTTTTTTTTTTTAGGAAATACAATAAACTTTGATTTTCATTTGGATCAGGAACATCCCGAGACCTCTTCCTGCGCGACCGGTACTGATGTACCACCACCACTTCAACAAACCACAATTAACTTTCAGAAACCAATAGAAAAAGTTGAAATGAATGAAACTAAGATCAAAAAAATTTACGAATCACTAATGAAGCTTTTAGTTGGTAAAGTTTTACCCATAAGTCTTGTGGACTCTGAGTATTTTCAACATCTTGTGAATTTGTGGAATCCAAAATACGAAATTCCAAGTCGAAAAACTATAACTACAAAACTTGCACAAAAGAAAGATGAAATGAAAGTGAAGTTGATAGGTGAGACAGGCAATTTAGATGACATAGTCTAACACATGATGGGTGGACAAACATAAATACTGAGAGTTATTGCACAGTCACTAGCCATTATATAAATGATGAGTGGGATATGCGTAGTGTCGTACTAGAAACCAAAAAAATAAATAACGGGGAGTCACACGGCAGAAAATATAAAGACTTCGCTTCTTGCAACAAAAAATACTTGGAAATTGCCAGTGCCTACTGCAGTGATCGATAATGCTGCAAACGAAAGGAAAGCTTTTGAGCTTCTTGAATGGCCCAGATTCGGTTGTTATGGCCATAGGATTAACTTAAGGGAGTATGGTACTGACAAGTCCTAATTTCAGAGTAATTAAAACTCTAAAACATCCACATAAAATGAAAGAAGTACCTTTATATATTTCATAAAATATTATAAGAAAAGGTTCTAGTGAGTAAATCTAAAATTATGATGCACTAAAATAAGGGGAGTAACTCTGTATGATAAAGTGATATTTTTATAACCAATTTTTAAAAAATTGAGAACAACAATAAAAACAACATAAATTTTTTTTTTTTGAAAAAGATATCATCCACAATATTGAAATTTTAATTTCAAAACAAAATAGTGCAAGAAAAAAGCCAAAAAGACAAATTAATTTTGATTCATTTATATCATGACAATTTATTGGGAAAATGGGTTCATGTATATGTACAACGTATTTTTTAATAATGAAAGAATAATTAAAAGTTTGATATCTTATGCTATATTTATAGTGATTTGCTTGCTTTACAAATTGCTAATAAAAAATTATAATGTTAGTGTGTAGTTTTGGAGAAATGTGCTCCCGAATTTCCTGACCCGAATTTCCTCTGCTCAAAAAGCTGTTATAAAATGTTAAAATAATGAGATTGCAATTTATTTACTTGCTTATAGTTTCTAACTCTCCTGATTTTGTCGTTTTAAACTCAAATTTTTATTATAGTTATTATTTTTCTCTAGTGACACGGCGGGCAATGCTTTTCACCAGATTTTTGCCGAACAATCTGAAAAGCTTCCGATTTCCCGGTTTGGTTTTGTACATTATCGTGTACACGTCACTTCCAGTTTGCAACTCGTACACAAAATGCCGAATCGGAATCAAAGTTGAAAGTAGACTTGGAGGAGGTGTTTACAATTATCTATGAATTGTTTTGAACAAAAAAAAAAAAATAGAATTTGAAACTCCGGCTTATAATTTCTAACGTTTTAGTGGAACGGATGAAATAAAGTGAATTGACGAAGACAGAATGCTCGAGGCTTATTGTACATTCGTTCTAGTATATCTGATATGTCTCCATGTTTAATTTTAATTAATAATAAATCTTTGTCTTGAATGAATATTTTCCATCTTCAGCAATATTGAAAGATTAGATATGATTCAGTAACTATTAATTTACCAGCTATTAAACCCAGGTCCGTAGAATGCGGGGGGGGGGGGGGGTTCTGAGTAAAGTATATTGTTCTAGTAAATTTTCCCTTAGATGCTAGTTGCTCCAATGTCAAGCACTAGCAAATTCCAGGATTTGGATAGTGAAATTATTTGTTTTTTTTTCAATATTTGCTTGTCAGATTTTTGAGAAATATTGCCCCCTTTTTTTGGTCTTTTTTTCCTTTATCAGATTTTTTTGGGAAGTTGCCCCCCCCCCCCCCCCCCCGTTTTTTTGAAATTGTTGCTACAAGTCTGACTAAACCATCATACATGCTGTTGAAGCGAGGGAAAATAGTGACACCACCACAATATACTACACTGTACTTTGCTATGCATGTGTACAATATGGTGTAGAGTAACAGCAATATTTAACAAAATCAGATAAAGTTTTAAGAGGTAAAACCACAAAGTACAAAAATAGTCCTTCACTAAAATAGATGAACTTATGTTTTATATTTTGAAGGGTTTTAAACTATTTATCTTAAATATCTTTTTCTAGTTTTCTTTTTATGGTTAAAATAACCTTTGTTTCTCTAATAATAAGTATCATAAGTTTACAAGTCAAGCAGCAGGCTTGTAGCAACGGTTTCAAAAGTTTGGGGGGGGGCACCTTCCCCAAAAAAAATCTGTCAAGCAAAAAAAAAACTAAACTCACCAAAAATAGGGGGAGGGGCAACTTTCCAAAATAATCTGATGGGCAAAAAAAAAAACCAAACTAATTAAATGTCCATTTCGTGGAAATTGACAGTGCTTGACCTTGTAGCAATGGGGGGGGGGGGGCGGCAATCACTATAGCAAACTACTTATACTCGGAAAAAGTAGGTCCCCCAGCATTCTACGGGCTTGAGCAGCTTTGTAATACTGCACCTGACATAACTCTCACACACTGACAGGAGCTTATAAATGAAGATAAAAACTTACAGTACATGATGTGAGGCAGCTTATTACCTCCTCAATGTAACCATATGCATGAGGGACAGGAGATTATTAATACAAGAAAGTTGTAGGAGATTATACACTCATGACATTGGGTCAGATTATGACACAGATTTGAGTCATAAGCAATCTAGTATCAACTACCAATTAGCCTCCATTTGAGAGTAATAGACCAGGTACAAATAATAACCTTTTCTGCCAGAAGCCTTGAACTTGCTGGAATGACCTTGAGTCAAGGTCAGTTACTCAATACACACATGTAACCTTAGGTTATATGCAATATTTATGATCAGTATGAGCATCTCATGTTCTCCATACAAAATACAGGAATTCAATGTTATTCTTAAAATGACATTTAACTTGATAAAAGGATCTTGAGTCAAGGTCATGGCATGCATTTGGGTCATTAGCAGTCCTTGTGTGCCATTTTCATCATTTTTCCAATGGAAAACCTTGTTAAAATTAAGGAAGATGAATTTCCCAGGTTCTACTCTTTTTTTTAACATGCAGTGTATTTAGCATCTGTTCATACAATGATATGGTAATGAAATAATTTTTATAATGAAACGTATTTAATATTGCAAAATTCATGAGAATCAAAATACATTAACATATTGAAAACTTATTTGCTCTATCTACAATTAAAAAAAAAAGAAAAATAATTTGTAATTTGACCAAACTTAAATTAATGAAAACTTATTACATTTAGTACCAAACACTGACATTGTATCTAAAAATGATGCTACAGACATGGCAAATTCTGATAACACCAATAATGTATCCACAACTGATGTCATGGACATTTCAAACAGACTGAAGATATATGACTCTTTTCATATAAAACTCTGGGGTCTTTCAACTGAAAAAGTCTGCATTCTGAGATAGAATCCACTTTACTTTTTATAACGAGTCACACACAGTTTTCAATTCATTTCTTCCATCAATAACTCCATATCGAATTTGTTGATAATGCCAGTTTTAAACTGCATTCGATAATACTGGGACATCATAGGAAATGGTAGTGTATCCAGTGACTACACTTTTCTTGTCGTTACTCAAAACTTTAGTCTAATTCTGATTGTTACAAGAGAAACTTCTATGTTCACTTGTTATTGTACACCTTCATTCCATTTATTTTTAGACCTGTAATTTTGTCTGCCTGTTTATTGATTGTTCTTTGTGGAAAAAGTTGAAAACTTTTCTCGTCTCATTGCTGATATGATCATGATGTTCCCGCTCTCTGTAAGAAACAATAACCTTGTTTTAGTTATTAGTTCAGGTGATAAAATAATTTTCATTTTAATAACAATCAAATGATCTTGTCCACCTGATCTAGTCAATACAGGCTTACAGAATGGCTGTGTGTGTTGGGGGGGGGGGTCTGTCCTCCTAACTTTTTTCTGAGAATAGTATTTGGCTATAGAGTAAATTTTCATTAAGATGTTGGTTGCACACACACACACCCCTTTTCTTTTTTACTAGAGGTCTGCATCAATAAACTTGTTACATGTATATGGGCAGTTAGTGATTTCACATACCTAAACCTGTTGGCTTTATTTCAAACATGAAATGTTTAATAAGTTAATAACTATGAAACATACAAGTTGTATGTCCCTATGGTACTATCACCAAGATTTTTGAGTTGTCATGGGTGATAATTCTGAAAAAGATGACCAAGGCTCTGAATAAATTTTACGTTCTTTATTGTTGAGTTTCCAGCAAAAAGTGACGCGCTGGGCACTCGAAACAAAAATCGGCCTGGTCAAGGTAGGGCTCCCCAGAGGGATAATCATAAAAACCACACAGGTAAACAAAGATACATATACCCAAATTTCCTCTCGAGGGCCTCTTGAAGAAAACAAACTTAAAAGAGCAGTTTGGACAAAGGATCCTAATCCAATGACATGACACTAATTGAGTCGAGTGGACATCAAAAGAATCACTTAATTGAATTGCATGGCTTTGCGTAAAAGTTATTTGTTGATAAATAAAATGGAATTTCACCTTGCCTAAAAATGTGTGATTATTTACAAAACTTCTTAACTTTATGGCTTGGGGATAAAATAAGTGTAAATGGTTCTTTGCAAAAATGAAGAAAGGATTAAATGAGGAAAGTTCTGTAAGATGTCAAATGGAAATAAATTTATTCTAAAAACATATCAAAGGGTCAATGAGACCTGATGATAGTACTATAAATAAACAATAATTAAGTATGTTTGTATTTATGTATAATTCATAATATTTAATGTCAAACCTAATATACCAGTTAGTATTCATCAAACAGTTACAATTCTTGCATATGGTTAGTGATGGGAAATTGGGATTTTTTCATAATTGATTATTGGAATAATGGGATGCACTATAATCGAAAAAAAAATTGATTAATTTCAAATATTATAATTCTTCAATTTCAAATGTAGAATAAATTGTTTAGAAATTCTGGAGTGATTTCCAAAATACATTTTTGAAATAATTTGTATCATTGGGTTCATTTATTAGATTATTATTTAGGATTTAGTTAAAAATTCAAAGAAGAATGAATCAAAAATCAAAGGAATAATTTGCTTTTAACTAATATTTTGAGTAATCGATTATCTATAATCGGGAACAATTTTGATTAGATAATTGATTTAATCGATTAATCG